ACTCATCCCTTATGGGTATAATTGGAAATCAATTAGTCCCCAACTCATCTCTAACGGGTACTATTAACGATTTACGCACTTAGTCAATGAAACTTCATGTGCGGCGTTGGCACACAGAGAGAGTATTCGCCTAACAAAACTGAGCACCCCGATTCGAATCTCAGCTGGTTTTGACAAACAGAAATTTCATGTGAACGGCATAAATTTTGTATAAATCGAGCCCTAACCGCCAAAAGGGCGTAAGCGACAAAAGGTTCGATTTTCTTTTTTGACAAAAATCCATTTCTTACCACCATACGCACCAGCTGTCAAAATTTCAAAGTCCTACGAAGTATCGTTAACAAGTTATAGGCTTAAGTGCCCTATTGTACTCTAATCAGATTTTTTTGTGCACGCAGTGACGATAAGCGTTTTTCTCCGTAAAAAAAATTTTCATTGCAGAGAGGGAATTGCTACACTTTTGTGTGAAAGATTTGAGGTGCCTCTATTTTTCTTCCAAATATGGACTATTTGATTAAGAATTTTAATCAAAAGGATAAAAATATAATAAAGGTATATTCAGCTTTACTAGAGACGCACTTGTCCTATACAGCGAAACCGATAATTCTGAAGAGTTAGTTGAAGAGGAAAATTCTGTGTTCGTTTCTTAGGTTAGGTTAGGTTGATGTGGCAGTCGGTCCAATGACTAACTCACTTAGATCTTGCAGTTTCATTAAGATACCACTGTGAAACACGGGAATCTCAGTGATTATTCTGCATAGAACCATTTTGAAGCTCTTATGTAGCGTAGGATTGGTTTTATTCCTACACCGGATAGCTCCGTGAGAGAGCTGAAAAAGTGCCTACCTAGAAAGCCCGCCCTGCTCTTAGCCAAAGCTGGGCAGCTACAGAAGAAGTGCTCAACTGTTTCTCCCTCTTCTTCATCTCTACAACTTCTGCAATATTCTTGGGAGAATATGCTTAACCTCGACACGTGCTTATCAAAAAGCCAATGACCGGTTACACAAGCCATGACTATCGAAATGCCCTTGCTTTAGAGACTGAGCAGCTCTTTGGGGTTTTTCCCTATCAATTTGCGGCCATAGTCACCTAGTTGTTTCACAAGACTCTAAGGCCTAACCATGACCTATTGTCGGTTTTTGTCGGACATAGAACGTGATGGGAGCTTTTACTTGATACAAATTTTGATAAAATTTCTGTTCAAATAATAGGAAGTTCCAGTGTTCTACCATAAACACTTCCAGAAAAGTTTAGCTTGCAAAGAAAACGCCAAGCCCACTTTCCCAATAACCCCAAATTTTCAGAAGTTTGGAAGAGGTTTGATATAAAATAAATGCCATTTTTAATTTACGATCATAGGAGGAGCGTTGTTGTTATATAATACTTTTCATGATTGAGAGATTTAACACCCAATTCTGTGTTTTCTTGATACATTTTTTGTAAAGACATTTTATCAAGATTTTTATTAAATAAAACCTCCCTTCGCTTTCTGTGTCAATATTTATAAAATAAACAGCTCTACGATTTCCACAAGAGGGGAACTGATTTCCTCATGACTGGAACTGATTTCATTGTCACATATTAAAAATATGAATTTAAAAGCAAACAAGTAATTTTTAGCAAAAAAAAACCTCTGAGACACTACCTTTCCGAAAAATATTATGGAAATCGGTTGACGTGGTTCAAAGTTATGCGGTAACATACATAATAAAAAATAATAAAAAATAAAATATTCCGACGAACTGATAACCTCCTCCTTTTTTTGGAAGTCGGTTAAAAAGCTTTTGACTGCCGTAGCCGAGCAGGTAGAGATGTTGGCTATAAATTCTGTGAGTCGCAGCTTCAAATGCCGGCACATTCAGTAATTAAATGATAGATACAAGTTTATTAGTACACAAAGTTTATAATTTCACATGGAATTTAAATTTGTAAACGCTTGTCTATAGCATTTTCAATCTTGATAATTTATCAAGAAAAGAGCTTTTGATTTCTGTGCTAGAATACCAATTATTGATAAATAATAAAAATTGACGCATTATAAAGATTTTTAATTTATCCAGTGCACAGAATCGCGCTGTTATAATAGTCATTATTCTATTATACTTGTGTTGACTTAAAAAAAACCCGAAATACGGAAACAAATAGTTTGTATTTTTTGTATTAAAACCTGTTCGTTTGCTAAAAAATCAAGCTACTAACATAAAAATCGATTATGATATAGGAGTAGGAAATAATGTTACTCATACGCCATACCGTACATGGCCGTACCGGTGCATACTCGTACATGGCGAATGGGTAATATTTCCATGTTCAAGCTTGAATATAAGTTTTATACGCAATGCAAACTTAAAATAAATGAGATTGAAAGAAAGCACCAAATATTGTTCAATATTCCATTGTCAAAGATTGCATTTTTTCGTAAAAATTAAAATATCTTGAGGGCCTGATCTGGTAAAACTGTATACAGATCCATAATCTACGACCCAATATTAAGTTTACGTATTTCGGCATTTTTAAGTCATTGCAAAAAAGTGCCATTAGTTTTTTAATTAATAGTTTCGCATTTAAAGCAAAAAAGGGCCGAGTGGTGAATAAATTGGTTGCCGGTTGTGATTGCAGCTTTTCGACGTTAAGCTTTCCTTGCATTCTTTGCTGATCCGAGTCGATGTTTGGCCCCAGAGCGTACGAACATCTAAGACACTGTAACACATGGTCCATTTGGTTTCTCGTAGTTTGATGTATCTTTTTGCACTGGCATCTAAAACTACATAATATCATGTGTCGGGCTCGGCGACGTCGATCAGCTTCAGTTCGTTATCGGACGCTTCGTCGCGGAGGCTAAATTTTCCGACAGTGACGCCCAAGATCCCTACTAGTTTTTAGAATAATATCATGTCATATCATATCATATAACCAAATTAATTAGTTCGAATTATTAATGCCAACGGTTTTACCCTCCTTTCTCGCCCAACCGACACGAGGGGCGCGATCCGTTATCGTTCAACAGCAGCTAAAGTAAAGTAGTAGGTATGTATGTTTAAATGGGTAAGGATAACCAACAACAGCAAGTACCGTGGTCTCGAATTCTGACGAAGGCTGATGAGGATAGATTGCCAGATGGTAATCTTCGAAATAACAATAATAACTACCACTGATTATATTTTGCTATTTTTAAACTATGCCCAATATCTACTTAAAATAACAAAACAATTTACACTTGCACACAGTACATATGTACCTAATTATAGTATACATGAATGCTCATGAAAAGTTGCGAGGCGCTGCACAAAAATAAAATTCTG